ACTAACAGAGACGGTTTTATTCTGTTTCTGTTCACTTTGAATAAAGTTGGGATGATGTGCGAGGTAAAATTGCTGTTTTTCTCTGCAGTGGCATTTGCTGGCATGGTGTTGAGCGATAGCCACACATATAATGCCCCTCAATTGAGGTTTGTTTAGGAAAAAAAATCCCAATATTAATTGTGAAAGTGCAAACATAGCTCACATGTAAAAACACTTTTGCACTTTGCACTACACAAAGGTTAAATGTGTGGCTGCGGGATGAGAGAACATGGATACAGGGTTGGTCAAAGGGGGTTCAACTACAGTAGAGAAATCAAAAGGTAATTCCTTTCATGGCCCAACACTGTTTGTTTCAGTAGTTAACTAAACAGAAAATGCCAACAGCTTTAGATCCAGAACAAATATGTAAATTAGAGCGAATTAAACTCACGAGTTGAGCTGTAGGATGTGTGTGATGTAATTTCAGTTTATTTTGAGGTTTTCTTGTTAATAACGACCTGCTGATGCATCCTTACCTGTTGATAAGTGAGACTACAGCAGTGAAGAGTTCTTCATAGAGTCCAGCCGCCATTCCTTCAACGCACTGAGCAGCGGTCAGCCTGGGACCTGCAGAGACCAGAACCAGTGGGCATGAACGAAGACTCGGGCTGCACAATTAATCGAAATATTATTTAAAATTGCAAATTGCAGAGGCTGAATTATTAAGGTAGAATATGTGACAGATCATTATAAGGAAGTTGTGTAATTCTGAAGAGACCTGACCTACAAACCTTTAGACCTTTATGATGAGTTTGAACCTGAACATTGTTGGTGTAAGAACACAACTTAACTACATATAGAACATAGAGATAGAGTTTATAAACTGTTTAATGAGGAAATGTTACAGATTATAGCTTTAAAATCTCGTTAGCACTGGAAGCATCCTCAATCTGATTTCAGTATCACCTCCCTCAACCTCGGGCCTGCCCTGGTTAGTCCTGCTTGTGCCTCCCAATAGCAATGCCTTTAGAGAGAGAGTGTGTGTGTGTCTGTCTCACCCTCCTCGGCCTCTGCAGCTCTCTCTCTGCTGCCCCCGGTGGCTCTCTGCAGCAGCTGTCGGAGGTGATGTTTGAAGACGGCCGTGTGCAGCTCCTCTCCCTCACAGCCGAGCACACTGCTGGCCACCTGAGCGCTGTCGAAGCTCACAAACTGTCTCCTGCCCACTGAGCCAAGGAGGGGAGAATGCAGAGAGCACACGGTTATATAAGTCCACCGAGGGACGCCGCTGGGAGAAGAGCTCAAAGATCTGTTAGTGCCGATACCAAAACCATTTATGCAGCGGTGGATGAATTATGTGTCTCAGCTTTCCAGTTATTCCCAGTTTCTGCAATTCCAACACTGTTTATGGACTCTAGTATGCAGGAATATTCAAATTCACTAAATTAACACATTTACACCACATGCAAAACACTGCATGGGATTAGCATAAAGTGTCTGCTAATGGGAGACTTGTGGGTCCCCATTTTCATTCAGATATCTTGAAGTCAGAGGTCAAGGGATCCCTTTGGAAATGGTTAAGCCAGTTTTTCTATCGCCAAAATATAGCCCAACTTTGGAGCGTTACTCAGCCCCCTTACTGACATGCTAGCATGACATGGTTGGTACCAATGGATGCGTTAGGTTGTGTAGTTTCATATGATACCAGCTTTAAACTGGAGCGCGCTGCAGCCTCTGACAGAGGTAAGGATGTAGGGGAATATCTCTTTAATATGCTTTTTTATGTGAAATTAATCTAAAGTGTGCATTAGCATTTCCACTCACCATCAACAGTGGATGAAGTAATCTGTCTTGATCAACCCATTTGTTATTCTGTATTATAATCACAATTAAAGTCTCGTTTTGTCCAAACTTACAACAACATTATTCCGTTTACTGTAATATAAAAACAAGAAAAGCAGCAAATATTGGAGAAGCTGAAACCATGTAATGTTTCAGGCATTTTTGCATTAAAAATGACTTAATTCTTCATCATAACAGTCACTGATTAATAATTAGGTTTATTAATAGTTTGTCATGTGTTTTTATGAACACATTTCCCTCTGAACTGGAGCAGTACAGTACTTATATATATATATACATATATATATATATATATGTATATATATATATACATATATATATTTATGTCCGAA